TTAAGTGTGAGAGAACTTGTCTTCTTTATTTTTATCTTGCAATATATAGTGGTTTGGGGCAATGTGTGTGTGTGTGAGGAGAATGTTGCTCACAAAGCTAGGCTGCTTGTGCCCAATGTTTTGTAAAGATTCTAATGAAACAATGCTTCTTGAATGAGCTTCTACCACTTACTGGCTGTATGAGCTTGGACAAGCCATTAAACTTCCCACGTCTTGATTTCTTAATCTGTAACCTGTGTAGGGTTTGGTGAGAGTTGAATGAGTGAAGTTGTATAACGTGCTAGAGCAACTGTGCCTAGCACATTGTCAGTGCTACCTAAGTGTTTGCTATTATTAATCATTTGTGGTGGCTGTTTAGGATGAGATCTGGTGCCTGAATCTTGACCAATCTTATTTTTTTCCCTCTAAGACTGTTACATAAAGAGTATTCACACAGGAATCCCAAACAAGTCGAGATCAAAGCACCTGACTCCATACTGAGAAGCCTGGATTGGAAAGTGAGCTTGAATTCAAGACCAACGTGGGGTTTAAACATATAAATCTAGTCAGAGAGATGACAATTGGGAAACCTTGGGCCTTTTCTTCATTGTTATAGGGACATAATGAAGAATCTCACATGGTGGTAGATGGGTCTAAGAAAAACAATACTTACTGTTATATAACTGTACATTTGTAAATGTTTTATATCCTGGCATAGTCAATACTTAAAGTCAATAGCTATTATTCCTAACTGACTGACTAAATATAAGACATGATGTCAGAAGAGAGGTGGTAGAAAGTAATAAGAATTAACTATGCTGGGCTCAAAGTTACCCTCTTAGCAGGGTTGCTAAATATGTAAATCCAGAAAGAAATTTGCAGTCTATCTAGCATGAGAAAACAAAGGACAAGTTCAGGGTGAATTCAGCATTTGGAGAAAAGAAAGTTACAGAAGGGAACCTCATATCTTGTGTATAAGCTCTGCTCAAGTCTTTAGTTGACCTCTGAGCTATCGATGTTGGTAGATTCTAAGCAGTGCAGTTAAAGTTAGTAACTGAACTGAGATTGTAGAATTTGGAGTTTGTGTTCCATTGAGTGCTCTTCAATGGAACATAACAAAATACAGAGTCTCTACAACATATTATTTATAACATCCAGAATACAATCCAAATTTATGAGACATGAAGAAACAGGAAATTACGACCCATACTTAAGAGAAAAGGCAATTAATGAAGACCAACTTCAAAGTGACCTAGATTTTGAACTAGCAGACATAGAGTATAAACATCCTTTAAAACTGCTCAAAGGTATAGAGGGAAATATAAGGGACAGGGCAATGGCAGATGGCACATAGACTTGTGTATATACACTTTATTCTTTATATAAAATAGCATTACTTATAAAGTAGGGATGACAGAAAATAGTTTGACCATGCACACTCAAAAGGTACATTGAATTCAAAGTTGTTCTGTAGTCCATTTGTTCATAATTAACCATTTAAAACTTCATAGACCTTAGAATTTTCTTGAATTTAAACAACTATAACATAAGGTGAAAAATAATGTGTTTTATAAAAACAGTGCTTACAAGTAGTCTGAAGTCCTCGAGGTAGATAGATTCACTTCCAGATTTTGGGAGTAGAAGATATGAAAGAATGGTTTAAGAAGGAGAGGCAGATATGATAGACCTTAAAATATACTTAATTATTTTTTAAATGTGGGCATGAAGGAACAGGGGTAAGCATTCAGGTGCACACTGTGAAGACAGTTCTGAACATAATGAAATGAAGTAGCAATCTTTGGCTGGAGGATATAGGTTATGATGACAATGGCAAGAGATAATGTATGAAGAATAGAAGGGTCCGCGTAGCAAAATGCTGGACCAGAGAGTTTACACCTGATTTTGAAGACACTTAGGAGCCAATTAAAAGACAAGGCACAAAAACCCAATATTATTTCCTTTGAAAATCACAAACCTCAAAAGGATTTTCATTATTTACTGTTTGTGATTCTTACAATCACCTAGTACAAAAAGCAAATGGAATACCTCTTATAATCTTAGTGCAGTTCTGTTTAATCTCTTAAAACTTAAGTTACCACATGACAGATTTGAGCAAGAAAAAGATGAAGAAATTTTCTATGAAATTAACGATTTGGTTGCAAGATGTATGTAAGAGTTTGTGGTTTTACAAAATATTTCACTGTTCTATTAAAAAGAGTCCCATCCTGCCACTTTTTGGGCAAATTTAATTTCATCTTTACAAATTTAAAGCCCATGCATAAGATACCAATTATGATTAAATTTTATTTTGTTAAGTTTGCAGAAATAAGCAAATACTTCTTTCTTAAGGCCCGGTTTGTGGCCTTTTCTGATGAAGAAATTCAGAAGATTGTTTTCAGTTTATTATCAGTTATTAAATTACATTGACAATTTTAAAATATTAACAAAGGCAAAGTATGAAAATCTTAAAGTCTAATACTAGGTTAGAAAATAAATCCTTTGTGAGCAATGTGTTTTTATAAGATTTCAGTTGCTTGCAGTAAAAGCATTGACTGGGAATATTTTAGATTTTTGGAATATCAGAATATAATACTAACAGAGTACTTTAGAACAGGAAGGACAATAAATTTTATGTCTCTGTACTCATAATGTTTATTTTATTCTTCATGTTACTTACCCTTTTAGCTGCTGACATCAAGGAAAGGAACAGACTTGTGGTCATAGATACATTCTGTTGCATATAATACGTGAATTATCATGTGATACTTGTTTAACTTTAAAAAGCCAATGCAGCACCATTTTTTTCATGTTTTGTGGCACGGAATGGTATCTAACCTTCCTGAGATAATCTATATTGATATGTACATAAATAATCCTCCTATTCTACAATTTCATGAAGTGTATTTTGTTTAGAACATTTCATCGTCTTATGTAACACCCTATGAAAACAAGGCTCAATCCAGATGTGAGTCATTCTCTCTAAGATAAAGTTGTTCTTGTAAATTATCCCAGTGCTTACAAAATAATGCGTTGAGGAGGGCGGGGGAGAGAAAAACTATGATTTTCCTCCAAAAGGGAAAATTAAGCCAACAAATTCTGGTATTAACATTTCAGTTCCTCTTATTTGCTGGTTTTGTGATATTAATATACTTTAAAGTTTACTATTTCATCAAGAGCAGCAAGGCTAATAAGCTTTAGTATAGTTCCATGCATTGATGATCAAAGTGTGATAATTAAATGCCAGATGGCACAATCATCACACAGACTACTCACTTTTGTGTTTTGTCTTGCTTTGGGCTTCCTGAAAGGCACTCTGTGTTTCATAACTGAGGTTTTTGCAACTTTCCTTGGTATCTTTCTCTAGTATTTTGATAAAATCATTTACATCTAAATTCCCTTATAGTCAAGCTCAAACATTTATCTCCCTTTGTTGAAATATCTCTATTTAATATGATTATTTACACTACAAACCATACAAAAACAAAAGATTGATCAATTAAAAGTTGACCCAATTCATGATCAATGGAAAAAAATATATAGGCATCCTTGGACTTGTTATATTGCTTTCCTGCTCACTATTGTTACTGTTTACTTTACATTTTCTTAGGAGCACAACTTTTCTTTTTAAATATGTTTTTATTGATTTTGGAGAGCAGAAGGGAGGGAAAGAGAGAGTCAGAAACATCAATGATGAGAGAGAATCATCAATTGGCTGCCTCCTGCATGCCCCCCCCCCCC